TATTTTTATATAAACACCATAAATAACGCAAGCTAAAACATATTACAATGTTCGGTAAAAGTAACAATAAAAATTCCGTTTAACAAACGTTTATATTATTCAAAATTACGCACAGTAACAACTAAATTTCACTACACAAGTATCTAAACAAACTTATGAGAAATTGATAAAAATGTACAATAACTTTTTCTTAATGAATTCTTTTCTTTTTCAAATTACAATTAATACAAACATAATCGTAATTATTATTATCTCGTTATTTATTTAACAACATTTAATTTAATATATTATATTTTAATCAATTATTTTATGGGGGGCACAGTTATTGATATGTTTCGATTATACATTTTTGTATCGTATTCACCTGGATAAGGTGACCAAAATCACAAAAAATTTTATTCACATACAAACGTATGTTTACATTCAAGTACAATAATTTGTTTTATTTTCTTCCAATTAACATTTATATATCCACTAATGGTTAATATATAATATAAATAAGATTATAAGGCTACTATTGATCACATTAAAAAAAATACACAGGCTATACAGCGTTAAAATGTATATAATGATATGTATGTGTTGCAAATAAGAAAGGCTATTTTATTTTATTAAATTAAAAAAATTTAAACAAAAGGAAATCTGTTTGAGCTTAAAATTTAATTTTTATCTTTGAATAAATCTACAAAATCCGCAATGATCGTATTGATAGTAATTAAATTCTAATAATTAATAATGATGATTCCTAATATTAATAATTATTATTATTAATAACGAAATAATTAGAAAAACAAAAAAGAGTTTTATAATTTGGACGGATATAATAATTTTTTCTCGCAAAAGACGTCGGTAAAACATAGTTGTAAAATAACATTACTTTTAAAATAATAATTAATCGTTTGTTTTTGGAATGCGTTATTTATTCAATTATATAGTCCTCATTGGAATGTATCAGTAAACTTTTTACAGTAATAATAATACATCAACGTCTTTTGCTAGCCTGTGAACACCGTTCGTCTTACGTTTAACAGATCTGAAATAATTACCACGACGAGTAATCACAGACTTAAAATAAAAAAGTAAAACAAA